TGAATTCTGGATTTAACAGGAAGCCAATGAAGGGAAGTTGTTATATGGCTGCATGGAAACGCGCAGCTGCTGCTGCAGACGCCATTTAGCCCACCAAGTCCTACCGAGGTTTTAGACGTGTGGCACACCGGCCTGTAATAAACTTGTAGGGCTGCTGAGATGTTTGCATGTAGGCGTGTTTATTGCTGCAGTCTTATGTGGTGACCTTCGGTTTTCAGAACTTCCCTCAGGATAACCAGAAGGTCCGTCTGTCTGTCAACGGCTTCCTGTGTGCGTTCGAGGTCCCGGTGCCGGGTTCGCCAACATCACTGAGCTCGCCCACACTGACAGGTGAGTCATCTTACACGTCTGCGCACTCGCCAGAGAGCTGTCTGCGAGTTCCTCATTTCCCCCCTCCTCCATCAGATATCACACCGATAGCCAACAACACAGCTGCCAATGGGCACGTGGGCAGTAAGCTCGACCTCATCCCTAACGGCGGGCCCTGCAGCCCTGAGACGCCTCTGGCCAACGGGGTCGCCAACGGACACATCACACCGGTGCACGAGAGCCCCTTTATTGGATACATCATCGCTATGCACAGGAAGATGGTGAGAAGTCGTAGAAAAAACAAACGCAGCGTCATTTTATGGTTGTTGCAGACGTAACATGTAAATGTTTGTGCGCCCCGCTTTAGATGCGCACAGAGTTGTACTTCCTGTCGTCTCAGAAGAACCGACCCAGTCTGTTCGGCATGCCGCTCATTGTTCCCTGCACTGTGCACACCAGTAAGAAGGACCTGTACGACGCCGTCTGGATCCAGGTGTCCAGACTGGCCAGTCCCCTGCCCCCACAGGAGGCCAGCAACCACGCCCAGGACTGGTAACTTCCTCCTACCAATCTCTTTATTAGAGAAACTCTCCTGTGATTCTGAGTAACAAGCATTTATCCTCCTCTGTGAACACGAGCGAACCTCCAGACTGCTTCTGTTGCTCTCCTCTGTTAAACAGAGGCAGCAGGTCTGTCGTGGACTCTGATGCAATCAGGATCAGGTCGGATCAGCTGATCCGTGCCACTTCCCTTGTTTAATGTAATTTAATTTTGGAAGGAAAAAATAACTTTGTTACAAGTTTGTTGACATTTTTGTCTTCTTTTAACGTGCAGTGATGACAGCATGGGCTATCAGTACCCCTTTACTCTGAGGGTCGTGGGCAAGGATGGAAACTCGTGTGCCTGGTGTCCGTGGTACAGGTAAGAGCGTTTCAGATACAGACGCTCGCGACTAACGCCGTTTTCACACATGCTCTGCAGCTCTGAGGTGTATGCAAAAGCTCAGCTGTGTGACGCAGCTCCCTGCTATCACCTGTGTGGTGCCTCCAGCGTGCAAATGCTGCAGCTAATATCTAAGATAGACGCCACGCACGCCGTCTCCTGCTGAATTACAATACTGGAAATACAGAGTTTTGTTGTTTGTGTGCTTAAAGTGAGAGTGCAGCTGTGGCAAAATAAACCGGACCTCCATTGTCCTGAAGTT